CATCAAGTTCTGTAAATATCTATTCAAATGTCAGCATATGTATATCTGATTAGTTGAGTGTGGTATGGTTAGCTCTGGGATAAGCAATCCAAAACTTAAAAATCAACAACCACTTAAAATTGCTTTTTTTGAGAAGCAAAGAACTTAGTAGGTGCATTTTGCACCATCTTAAGATATTGTAATGCTAAAAATAGAATTTCTGCTATCTTTGTAATTTTTGCCATCTTCTCTGTTACTGTAATAGTCTTTGCAACAGACAACAATAAAATATTTGTCTTAGTGATGGGTAGACACCTCATGGCATCATGAAACAGTGGTTAGATCACAATGCAGTGTGAACTCCCTAACTTCGTGCTAGTTTGCTATCACAGTTCTGTGGCAGAACATCTACTATGTACACACACAACTTCTCTTTCAGAGCTCTAAAGAGAGGTGTTAAAGAAGGAACAAATGTGCTGCTGTTCTAGTGTCACTGAGGTTCAATACTCTGTAAAATGTTTGAATCTTACTGCTTGAATAATCAATGTTCATAAGCATCAGATTATTCAGAAAGGTTCACACAGATACACTGTGCAAATTTGTTGTGTATTCTTGGGTGCTATTTTATGAGGGGGAAAAAAATAAGCCTCTGTTGTGAACGGCTTAACAAATCTGAAATCTTAGGCCACATGACAAATTAGTATTTCAGTTGATGGATTTGAAGACCTCTAAACCTGGCACTGTGACTGAGTGCCTACTAGTCATGTGAATGGTAAAGCAAGAATGCTGTGCAAGTCTCATGTAGTTACATTTTCCTTTTAAATTGCTTTGCTTTATCACTGACATGTTCTGCTATTGCCATTTAAACTGCTGTATCTTCTCATGTTTAAGGCTTGTCTGCTTTCAGAACACATCACGTGAAATTGTCAGGTCGTGACGAAGGTGGTGCACACACACACACAAAAGCAATCTTTACACTTCCCCAAATAGTCTTCAGAAACTCTTGAGACTTCCCAGTTTAAGAACTTTTCAAACTAGAAAAACTTAAGAAAAATGTTCTCATAGTTCATGACACAAAGGATCATCATTGGTTCAATTAAGCAAGTGGCTGTATACTGTATGGATTGAGTTTTAAACTGCATATTATTGTAGCAGCATTGTATGGGATGGCTTTAGTCATATTTTTCTCAGTCTAAATGTTATTGTAAGATCCAAGTACTGACTGAAAAGTTTCCTGGCTCATGTTGATGTGATGTGCTTTGTTTAAGAGAAAAAGACAAACATTGTGGTTTTGGGGCACTTTTGTGCTCCCTGTTTTGGAGTGTTGCTCACAAAAGCTTATTTTTTTATAAGGTAGAATTCCACTTGTTACAAACCAATATGCAAAACTGCTGGCCTTGTCAAGAGTGCAATATTATATATTTTTATGTAAAAGTAAAAATGATTTTTGAAGCAAGGAATATTTATTCAGCTTAATATTCTGGAACTATTAAAATAACATTGCAATAGTGTCTGTGCATGATGTACTTAAATTTCCTGTAAATGTCACATTCCACACTGTATTTGTATATACACTGTCACATTGTTGGGTAATAAACAGATCTTTGTATCAAACCATTTTGAGATTATTAGAAACATGTTTTTGGCTTAGTTGCAACTTCCTTCTTTTAGGGAATCTTTCACGCCTTGCTCCAGATCAGTTTCTGCTGATTCCCTTGTCTTTCATATTTAAAAATTCATTATTTTTAAAAATCATTATGTGGGAAAGTTCCGTTTATGGACTACATCCTGTGTCTGTCAAACTGAAGGTGGTGAGCATAAGATGGGAATTGGGAAACCACGTATATCACTTTGCACATGTGTTCATGTGTCCTTCCTTCCCACAGGATGCATGACTAGAACTTGGATGAAATGATGGCTCTCAAAGCAGAGACATTCCCCTTCCTTCCATCTGCCTTCTCACTGAAAGCCTGTCTGAGCAGCAAAGGCAGAAAAGCAAATTCTCTCAGGATTCTCAGAAAGACTGGTGGAAATTGGAAGACTGGGATCCTGGGGAGGCCTCTGGCAGGATGTGAGGCTGTTTCTGCTGGCAGCTGGGGTTTGGGAGATGTTCATGGGCCAAGGCTTATCTACCTGATTGCAGGATTCTGTGGTAAATCCAGACCTTTATGCTCAATAGTGGAGAGGCATGGTGAGAAAGGGAAGGGGAGGCAATAGCTGGATATTCCCCGTTACTGAAAGGGAACCCTGATATTTCATTTTGAGATCCACTGCTTAGACAAACCCATGACAATGAACAAAAGTGAAAAAAAAAAAAAACACCAAAACAAACCTGAGCTGAATTAAACAAAAATGTAATAATAGTAAAAGATAACAATGGAGTAATGAGGGAAATATGACCTGGCTTGCTACTAACAAACTTTCAGTTTACTTTTTAATTTCTTCATGCCTTCTTTTGTTTAAAGCTGTATTGGATTTTTTCCTTGCATATGAAAATGGAAGTCACGCTTCCATATGCTGCTACTCTATCAGAAAAACAATCAATCAATTACTGTTTAAAAGCTCTGCTTGCTTTGAAAAATATCAACTGGAATATTTAAGCCTCTGTACAAATATCCACTGGAATATTTAAGCCTTTTACTTTGCTGCTGTATTAAGTTACAAACTACTGACAAATGACTGCTATTTGGAGATTTATTTGCCATTACCACTCTGGAGTGGGGTCAGAAAGGCACTGATTTTGTATCAGAGTTTCTGTAATAGGCTCTGTTGTGTATTTCATAATTTTGAAAAAAGATTAAAAATGAAATGTTGCTGCTCTGATTAGACACTAAAACTATTCTGGACTACACAGCAGAAAGTAGTTGAGTAAAACAGGATCTTGCTTACTGCTTCCAGCTTTGAGGTAGCATTCCCGGGTTAAAAAAAAAAAAAGTTGAGTAAAACAGGATCTTGCTTACTGCTTCCAGCTTTGAGGTAGCATTCCCAGGAAAAAAAAATAAATCCTTATTCTCTAATGCAATTGACTGAAGCCCATATAATACTCATTAGAGCCAAGTTCATGTAAGTTCAAGGAATATAAATTTGTGTTAGCTGTATGGGTATTGCTTTCAGAACCTGTAGGGGAGACTCCTGGTTGTGGTGGAAGGTTAAGAGTTTGCAGATTTAAAAGAAGTATCTGTGTAATATATGATAATGTTTTTAAAAGAGCCATTTCCCACATTTATATTTTAGCTTATGTCATAAAATTGTTAAATCCAGTGGTAAAACTATTCTGATGACAATGGCTTCATGATTAGAACTATCTACCATAGTTCTGTGTGCTCTTTGTCTAACAGCATGTAAATCCTTTGTGTATGAAATGGGGCCTTTTGTAGATTGATGATGTGGTTGAACATGAATGAAAGAGCAGCAAGTGAAGTCTCCATCAGTTTCTGGAACTCTGGTGATGGGAAGCTTGTGAACTTACCTGATTATATTTAGTGATATTTACCTTCTTCCTGTTGCATCCCCTTCTGCAAGCCGCTACCCCAAAGCCATCGTCTCCATCTCAGAAGAGGCTGTCCTTGCTCCAAAGCACCTTTAGAAATAGGACTCTTCTTTGTTCTCTTCCATATAGAAAACAAATGTTACTTGGGAATTCTGCTCCATTATGATGGAATGAGAAAATGTGCTGAGGGCAGGTGGGAGAAAACCTACACCACTCCAGAGGGAACTGCCATCTTACTGGGGAAAAAACCAATGAGACTGGTCATCCAGATGGGTTATTGCAGCTGACAACATTTTCAGTTAAAGATGTTAACTGGCACTTTTAAATGCTGCTGAACCATACAGCTTTTATAAGGAGAACCATATCAACATTGCTCTATGAAGCTGAATTGTGTTGTTCTGACATACTAGCCCTGACAAGGTGAATCTAAGCAGCCCCTTTCCCACAGCAGTTCCCTTCCCCATGACACGCTTTTTCCGTCATCCTCTGTTGCTGTGTGTGAGGGCAGGACAGGCACTGCGGGCTCTCACCCCGCACCCCAGTGCCATTCAGGCTTTGCTGTTTGAGGTGCAGCACTACGGGCTGGGGGCAGAGTGGCTGGAAGCGGCCTGGTGGAAAAGGACCTGGGAGTGCTGGTCAGTGCCCAGCTCAACATGAGCCAGCAGTGCCCAGGTGGCCGAGAAGGCTGATGGCATCCTGGCCTGGATCAGCACCAGTGTGGCCAGCAGGGCCAGGGCAGTGACCGTGCTGTGCACAGCACTGGTGAGGCTGCACCTTGAGTGTTCTGTGTGCAGTTTTGGGCCCCTCCGTTCAGGAAGGATGCTGAGATGCTGGAGCACGTCCAGAGAAGGGAAATGGACTTGGTGAAGGGAGCTCAGGTCCTGTGAGGAGTGGCTGCAGGAGCTGGGGATGGTTAGCCTGGAGGAAAGGAAACTCGGGAGACCTTAAGCGTTCTCTACACAGGAAAGGAGGCTGTAGCCAGGTGGGAGCCGGTCTCTTCTTCCAGGTCACAAATAACAGGATGAGAGGGAATGGCCTCTAGCCGTGCCAGGGGAGGTTCCGTTTCGACAGAAGGAGGAATTTCTTCACGTAATGGTGGTTAAACTTTGGAATGGGTTGCTCAGCGACGCGCTGGAGTCACTGTTCCCGGTGTGTTTAAGGGAAGACTGGATATGGCACGTATCCACGGTCTAGTTGAGAGAGCGGTGTTCGACCAAAGGTTGGACTCGATGATCTCAGAGGTCTTTTCCAATCTAATGCATTTTGTTTCTGTGGTCTGTGATTCTGTTTGAGAATACCTGGATGATGGCTCGATCCCTAGCGCCTGCTGGAGCCGGGGCAGGAGGCGGCTGCCGCGGGGATCGGGAGGGACAGCGGCAGGCGGAGCGTGAGGGCGGCGGCTCCGGGCCCGCGGCCGCCCCGCCCCGCCGCGCCCTGTGCCAGCGCCGGGCTGCCCGCAGCCTGCCGCCCGCGCGGGGAGGGCGGGAAAGAGGGAGGGAGGGAGGGAAGGAGGGAGTGCCCGGGGCCCGGGCGGGAGAAGGTGCCGGGAGGGGCGCCCAGCGCAGGGCGGGCCGGGGTTTCGCGCGGGGCTTTCTCCGGCCGGCGGCCGGCGCTGGTGTCCCGGGAATCCCTTGGCCGGGCCCGGCGTCCCGCTGGTCCCGTGGGCTGCTGCGGGTGGGCAGGGGCCGGCGGCGGCCGCGCGAGCCGGAGTTTCCCGGTTATCCGCAGGAGTCGGCGCCGGGCTCTGGGCTCGGCAGCGGCGGGGAGCGTCCTTCTCCGGAGAGCCCCGAGCCCAGGTACCCCGCGGTACGGGCGGCGGGAGGGGGGCTCTGCCTGGGGCGAGGGCTCAGGGCAGCGGCGCTTTGCCCGCTGGCCGGCCCGCGCTGGCGGAGGAGCAGCTCCCGCTGCCCGGCTGCTGCGGGCGCGATCGCTGATGTGCGGAGCTGGGAGCTGCTGCACAGCAGAGCCATTAGGGCAGCGCAGTGAGACAGAAAACTCGGAATAACAACTTAAAAAACGCTTCTGCCCTGCAGGGGATGCAGTGCCGAGCTTCCCGGAGAAGCTCTCCCTATATTGTAGGTTACAATTCTGTTCAAATACGTTTTAAGTGGGGTTTAAGAGGAATAATCAAAATTTCCTGTGTCTTTCTTTGAAAGCTCACGGCTATCTTTCAAAATTAGCTGAAGAGGTAAAATAGTAGCCAGGAAAAATCTTTCTGCCTCAGACTTTCCAAATCTCTGGTGGTTTGCTGGGCTGTTCATATAACCTGTATACTGATGATAAATTATATTGTACAAAAAGATTGTCTTTGGGAAATATCACATTACTTCAGCCATTGCTTCCTTTGATTTTTTTTTTAATGTTCAGAAGCAAGATTATAATTCTTAGTAAAAATTTGGGTATGATGGCAAGAATTTTCGGAACTTGACAATTAAACTGGATATAGTACTGGACATGTTAGATAAGAACTAAGCTGTTGGAGTTTTGCTGATTTGCAGTTACATGAGGAGAAGTTATTTTCAAAGTCACCACGGTTATGGTATGAAAATTGCATTCTTTCCTTATTGTGAACAATTGTTCTTGCCTTTAATCTAATAATTTCTGCTCGTAGTACTAAGCTTCTCCTTAGGAGATGGACTGAAAAGCTGCAGTAATTTTCTTGAAATTCTTTGTGTAGCCATGAGATAGAGAAAGAAAAGGATTCCTTACCCTGCCTCTCTCTTTACAGAGCTACATCAGTTGCTGTAAATCTTAGGGTAAGAACTGAGATAGCAGGGTTGGGTTTCTTTCAAGTTGGGTTTCTTTCCATTTCTTTTTATTTTTTTTCTCTCTTTTAATTTCTTTGGTATACCAGATTGGCATGGAACAGCTGTGAGGCTGTAAATTTTGCTGTTTATGTTCCTGCAAGTGGATAATGAAATGTGACGATCTTTCCTCGATTTAGGATGTGATTTGCAGGTCATTATCCAGGGATGTTTCCCACTAATGTCAGTGGAACTTAGTTCAGTGATTGATTGGGTTAACTTTCCTATTGGGCTGTGTGGTCCACAGAATACAGAGCTTGTGTGGAAGGTTTTCTTTGGAGTTGTCAACCCCATGTTTTCTAATCTAGTAATTTCAGGTCCATGACTTTAGATTAAGGCAGCAATTTGGTTTAGGGCTTTTTAGATTGAGTTCCAGAGGTCACTTTTAAGGTATGGCATTTTAAGATTGTACTTGGAGCTGGGGGCGGGGGGGGGGGAATGCAGCTTTTCATCTCTGTTTCTTGTAGAAATCCATCCTTGAACATGAAAATTCAGTTTTGCTTCTATGTTACTCAAGTTTTTAGACTTTTTCTGCATTTTACTATCAAGTATTTATAATGTTAGCAGGTGAAGGTTGCACTCCTCACCCCAATGCAGCATCAAGCTATACCTGCAAATCTTTATGCAGCTTTATGCATTATAATAAGATAAATTTACCTTTGAAGTGCTGTTGGGTACAATCATTCACTGTAAAACAAAAAAGGAAAAAGCTGCTCTTCACAAGCATTTTTAGGAGCCTGGGAAATGAAGAACTTCAGCACACATGAGTTACGTGCAGAACCCAGAAAAAGGATGAAGTGAGGTAAACAAAACGCCAGAAAATGCAGCTGGCTGGGAGGCTGTCGCTGCGCAGCTTTCAGGAGTGATGCTTTAGGAAAGGGCTGTCTGGTGTGGGGTGCCAGTCAGCAGAAACTGTTTGGCTAAAAAAGGCTGTGTAGCTGCTGTCACTGTTCTTCGTTAGCCCAGCCAGTGTTCCCCTAAAAGAAAAGAATCAATAGAGACCAGGCCAATGAACTCGGTGTACTGCACAAAAATACCCTGGCTAAATGAGCTCCTGTATAATCCAGGTCTGCCGGCTGCAGCAGTAACATGTAGGCTGCATGAAGGCTGCTCGTTAGCACAGTTACTGCAACTAAAGTGATTATCAGGGCCTGTATTGATGTGTGCCTATATTGATCCAACGTAAAAACAGCCAGGAATGAGTAGCAGCAAACCCAGCTGAGAATTTCTGGTTCCAGGGGTTTTAGGTAATTCAAATGATGGGGAGAAATTACTCCTTTTAAACATCAAAAGGGATGTTGTCAGCAGGTCCAGGGGGGTGATTCTGCCCCTTACTCAGCTGTGGTAGCACTGCATCCACACTGCATCCATCTGAGGTCCCCAGCACAGCAAGGACACTGACCTCTTGGAGCGAGTCCAGGAGAGGGACACCAGGATATCAAGGGGCTGGAGCACCTCTCCTGTGAGGAATATCTGAAAGAGCTCAAATTGTTCATCCTAAGGAAGGAAAAGCTCCGAGAAGACCTTTCTGCAGCCTTTCAATAATAAAAAGAGGCTCACATCCAAAGGGATGTTGTCAGCAGGTCCAGGGGGGTGATTCTGCCCCTTACTCAGCTGTGGTAGCACTGCATCCACACTGCATCCATCTGAGGTCCCCAGCACAGCAAGGACACTGACCTCTTGGAGCGAGTCCAGGAGAGGGACCCCAGGATATCAAGGGGCTGGAGCACCTCTCCTGTGAGGAATATCTGAAAGAGCTCAAATTGTTCATCCTAAGGAAGGAAAGGCTCTGAGGAGACCTTACTGCAGCCTTTCAGTAATAAAAAGAGGCTTAAAAGAAAAACTGGGGCAGAATTTTTAGCAGGGCCAGTTGTGAAAGGATGAACGGTAATGGTTTTAAACTAAAGTGGGTTGATTCAGACCAGATGTAAGGAAAAAAGCTTTACCATGAGTGTGGTGAAGCACTGTAATATGTTACCCAGAGAAGTGGTGGATGCCCCCTCCCTGGAAACATTCCAGGTCAGCTTGGATAGGGCCCTGAGCAACTTGTTATAGCAGATGTTCCTGCTCATTACAGGAACATTGCATTTCCTTGAACCAGGTGATCTTTAAAGGTGCCTTCCAGCCTTTAAAGGTGCATTCCATGATCCTGTAGACTGGTCACCCAGGTACTATATAAAGATAAATGTGCCTTCCTGTGGGACTAAAGGCCTAGAGAATACCTGGACAGTGTAAGAGGAGTCATCTTAAGAGAGAGGATGAGATCCATTTGTCAGGCTGCAGCCTCAGATGAAACACATCCTGCAAGAGGGTGTTTGAAGGAGAGGCTTCGTCATATTCCAGGGGATGGGTGTGTAATAGATTCTCTTGTAATTAAAATTTCTCTTCTCTCCAGAGCTTTATTTCTAAGTAACAGTTTTATTTCATTAAAGAATATTAAGCTTAAGGTTATTATCACAGGTCCTAAGGAGAACAGAATCAAGTGTCATACAAAGTTTTGTCTGCAAGAAGGATCTTTATCACAGCCTGGTTTGAAAGTGAGTACAGTTCTCATTGTCAACATCACACCATATGTAATAGGGCCTTAAATGATGCACAGATATGTACTCTGCACCATTTCAGGCCCTATTACATATGGTGTTTGCAGAGAGTGAGAGAAGGTAGAGGTATATGTAGCTTGGTATGTGAGGAGAAGTCAGTCTCGCAAAGTTATGGAACCATACCTGTCTGTAGGAAATTAAAAACTTAAATGGATGCTAAACACTTCCAGAAATACAGTAGTTAAATATTTAAATGCATGTAAAGGTTGGAGCAGGATTTGGAACAGAATAAATGTTTGTACTTCAGAGTATAAACGAACCTCTTGCTGGGGATAAGTGGAAATTTTCTCTCATGTCTGAAATGCCTGGTACCAGACTTTTTCTTTTGGTTTAAAGTTATTTAAGAAGCCTCATATTCTGTTTGGTTTTTTGATACTGTTAAATGCTTTACTAGTCAAGATTTTTATTTTTTTTCCCATTTGGTGTTTCAGAATATAGGTAAGGATACATTATCTGTGTGGCATTGTTTTAGAAACATGGTTTGAATTTTTAGAAGCATTTTTATGCCTAATAGCCTTTTCAGAATTCCACTATGGACTTAATTCAATTCTTATTCTGTAAATGCTTAAACACTGGCTGGAAGTACTATGAACGCTGTTCTTGCCAACTTTGTTGTAGCTAGTGACAGTTCACATTGTCTAACACTAATGGTTATAGCTTTTACAGTATGAGTGAGTGAATTGCCAGAAAGACTTGGGAGATCTGGAATTCTCTGGACTGTTCAGGGAGTTGCAGTTGCTTAATTCAGTTTAATTTAAATGTTTGTGGCAAATGTAGAAAGGCCTCTGACTTGATTTAGCTTTGACATTTTTGACTTTGTGATCATTAGTAAGGTAGATGTGGAGATGATAAAATTTAAATGATTCAGTCTTGTGGGGGTATCATTTTGTAAACAAAGCTAAATGTGTTTATTCTAATTTTTATGGATGGGTTGATACTTAAAAGTGAGAAGGTTGAGTCTAACAAAAAATCCAGAGATGAGCTGTAATTCAGAGCCTTCTCTTTTTCTGAATGTCTTGTACCTTTTCTGCTCTTTGGCTTTCCACTGCAAGTCAAAACACATCTCACAATGGATTGAAAGCTGTGGCTTGGTTGTAGATTTTCATACAGTACATGGCATTTTATGCAAAGCCAGTTCATCCACATATGTTCAGTCCCATGCCTTGTAAGGAATATGAGTTAAAAATTGTAAACAAAGATGAAGACAAAGAACCTGCTGTGTTCTGACACGATTTTATTTCATCAGAGCATGCAAGGGGGAAACTTGTGTTCCATTCAAATGACACATGTATATGCAGAAAACCTGCTCTTTTTCTTGGCATATGTTCAAGCTCTTGTTTTGTTTGGCACAATTAATAGATTTTAAAGTAGCATTTCCCTGCCTTGACTTATACTAGATCTGAAAGAAAAAGATTCTATTGTTTCTTCAAATTAGTGTTGAGCATGGCTCACCATGGCATTTGTATTACACCATCTATTTTACAGCACAGGTTACTGATTTTAAGAAGCAGTTTGTGTCATGCCAGGCTGTGAGAAGAAACAGCTGTCTTTGTCTTGTCTCTGAGAATTTGTGTTTAGCAAAATCAAAGTAGTTAAAAATTATTTCTACATTCTTTTTTTGCTATGGATTGTGTACTTGTCTTGAGTCTAACAGGGGCACTGTATGTACAGGTTTTTTTACAAGAGCATTTCCAGTGTCCTACTTTATTTCCTGTTTGTATCTTACACCCCAGTGACTGGATCAGGTAAGCTATCAAGGTTCAAGAAAGGAAATTTGTGTGGTTCTAGGTGTTTGCTTCTTATCCAGAAATAAGCTGGAAGTATTAATTTTGAAGGGTCTGAGCCTAAAACTGCTTTGGCAGCAGTGCAAAAAGTGCCTCCTTGTGTGTGTGTTTTTCTCCTGTATCCCATCTGCCTCTCACACTCTGTGTCCTTTGCATTTTGCTGAACTTTAGATTGGTTTCCGAGGCTTGATGCCAGACTAATCTGGCTGCAGGTGGCCCTTGTGGAAAGGACCACAGGGGAATGTTGCCTGATTGAAACCTCAGCATCCGGTCTTACTAGCTAGTACAGCTAGTCTGAGACCTGTGTAGGACATCTGTATCCCATCATCTTTCCCTGTGGCCTCAGTCCAACCTCCAGTGACTTCAGAACAGTGACTGTTCCTTGTGCTGGGCCAGAGCACATGGAGGTGTCAGCACAAGGGGGTGTGACCTGCAGACCACCTCTGGCACAGATATTGTAAGTTAGTCAAGGTCTGAATGTGGACATCTCAACTCATTTAACAGGTAACAGTGCTGAGGACTGCTGGATATTGAGCTGATTTAATCCCCAGGGAGAAGCAATGCAACAGAACCAAATGCTGCCATACCTTTCCTAGATGTCCCTTCCCAAGAGCTGCAGATCTCTTAAAAAATAAAGCATCCTCTACTGTACAGCATACTGTACTGGCTTTAGTCATCTTTAAACTTTTCTGGAGTGTCTAAGCAAAAAGTTAGAAACCTCTGCATTATTTCTTCTTAATCTGTTACTTCATTTCTAAACTTCTTTTATCAATAGTCAGAATTCTGACTCATTCTCTATCTTAAAATTTCTCTCTGATGCTTGGTGAGAGTGGTGTGGCATTAATTTCCACTGCACACACTTCTGAGCTTGTTTTGATGTTTCTAGGTGTAACTGGGGCGTGGAGCCAAACTGTGCAATGCCTGCAAGGTCTGTTTGTGAACAGCTGTTCTGCGTTGGCAACGTGAACCAGGGCAACCATTTTCACGCTGAAGTCATGGTCATGTGCTCTGCATTTGTATGTCATTTGCAGGATTCAGGCAGAATGCTGATGATCGAGGATGCAAATATGTAATGCAATAAAGTGCCATGGAGCAAGAGAACAGAAATAAATGGTGTCTGCTTTGTATTCGTGACCAACAGCCTGGCAGTGTTGATGTGGTGGGCAAGGGCTGGTTAGAGTTCAGATAGCTGTCCTCTCAGTGATTGCTGCTTTTGCTGCCTGTTCTTTAAATGGTCTCAACTTCATCTTTTCCAGGAAAAACAAAATGAAGGAACTAGTGTCAAACAGTACAACCAGTATTTCTCAAGCCAGGAAAGCTGTGGAGCAATTAAAAATGGAAGCATACATGGATAGAATAAAGGTAAACTTAGACTTATTGTTGATATTTTGAATTCACTGATATTTTGGATTCACTGGCTAGTTTGTGGAACAGTATGCCCTTAATAATGCAGAAGTCAAGAATCTGTCTTGAGCAATTAAAAAATATTCAGTTCTGTGAGTGAGTTACATACCAGCTGTGGGTTCTAGTGAAGTGATTTCCAAAGCCTGGCTTCAAGTCTGCTTCTGTGTGAGTGTCTGTCATGTTTGTCAAAAGTGGTATTTTGTGAAATACTTAAAATCAGCTGGTGGGTGCTCTTCCTTGTTACCTCCAGCTGAATTTAAGTGCAGCTCTGATTTTTTTATTTTTCTCCTTTAAGAATTGGAATAAATCTTTAATTGCAAAATTTTTGAATAATGATGAGACAAGCTGAATTGCTTTGCTTTGTTTTGTTTTAGTGCAGGTATCATTGCACGAAAATCGTGTGAGATTGCAGTGTCCAGTTATGATTCTTCACACTTGATAATGTGTTGTATGTGAAGATTTGGTTTCATCATGCATCTTGTGGATTAAATATTATCATTAAAGGGACTATTAAGCAGAGGTTTTCTGTTTTTTTAACTAAAAAATCCCGTGGATTATTCTTGCATGTCATTCTTTCCACTAGGCTAAAATTTTGTGAAGTACCAAGAACCTAGAAGCTAAAAATGCCTTGGAAGTTTTTAAGAAAGCAATGCTTATTTCTTTTGCTCTCTTCCTCTGAAAATAGGGAATAATTATTTCGATAAAAATCCAGTCTCTACAAGGAAGAAGTTCTTTCCATCTTTAAAAAGTAATGCGTTGAAATTACCCAGTTCTCTACAAACAACTGCAACCGAGTTGCTACAAACTGTAACTGAGATTATTAAGTCAGTAGGACAATTTAGAAATGTTGTACATTAAAATCTTCATGTAGGTCTTTACTCAGTCTGTTTGTCCATCCGTCCTCTGTGCTGAAAGTCTGCATGTAGTCAGCATGGGGACAGTAGTATATAGTTGTGATTTTTAAAATAGTCTCAGATCACAAACTCACCAGCTGGAGAAGTAATATTTATAATTCAGAAATATTAGCACAATTCACATGAGTGGTCAGTCTTGCTCATATGAAAAAAGACATTTCAGTCACTGTTTTGTGGCAGTTTTTAGTGATGTCTTGTAAGACCATTGAAGTGGCAAAAGTGCTTTCTCTGTTTCACAGCGTGTCACAAATTCATCACATAACCTGTTCACAGGGACAGGTGCTTGCTTCCTGCAGTGAAAGAAGGTCTGCCTTGGTTAGTCCCAGGTCATATTGCAGCTGCATGGACAGAACTGACAAGGGAGGGTGTGGGTGGCAGAGGAAAGTGTTGGAAAGATATGGCCCAGTTTACTGGCACTTGAAATTGTTGATACTTAGTAGATTGCCTTAAACTTGCTTCTGTGTATGCAGTGGCAACTGTCAGGTCCCACATCATTAGGTCTGTTTTGCAAATAGCTTCATTAGTTAGGTGTATAACATTCTTAATTGCATATGCAAAAAAGACATAGCTACAAGAAAGACATAGGTTATTTTTACAGTCAGTTTAATTAAAATGAACACAGTTATTACAAATGTGGCAGACCTAAAAAACAGGTAGCTTGAAAGTGCAATTATTTCACTTTTTGAAACAGCCTGGGACCAAAAACACACAAAAGAAAATTTGGCATGTTTCAGAATTATGAGGGTTCCTACACTAATATAAAACAAATATAACTTTTCAAAATGCATTGATTTCTAGAATTTCTCTGAACAAGCATATAAGGAATTGTGAGAAACAGTTGATGGGCTTTTTATCCTTCAAAATCTGCTTGGCTTTTTAATCTTGAATCAGTTAAGTGTGTGTTTCAGCACAGTCAAATTTTACCAAGAGACTTTCCAGTGGTTTCAGTGGGAGATTTTAAGTTCTCAGATCATTACTGTAAAGGTAGATCAATGAACTTACTACCTTTTTTCCCCTGGTGTTTTGCATCTGATTAAACTAGTTAGACATTTAACAAAAGATCAGGGCTTTCCAAATAATTTAATTAAACCCTCTTTTGCAAATAGCTATAGCCAAGTTGTTATTGCCACAATAGGCAAGACCACATTGCTAACATGGAAGAAGTGCCTGTGTTATTGGCTGGGAAAATCAGAAGTTCCAGTTTATTTTTCTACTACGGAGGCATTTTGTTTCCAATGCAAATTACAGCAGCTGCTGTAATCAGCAAGAGTTGCGTCTACTCATTTAAAATGCTGTAGTTAAAAGTATGTTGATAGTTGCTGACTCTCCACTGTATTCTGGATTTTTCAACTAATTTAAGAAGTACTATTAAGTCCTCTAGCCAGTCAGAGCAGCAAAGCAGTGCTGTGTTCTGAGGTTCCACAAAGACAACTTGCTGCTGAGGTGTGAAAGAAGCAGGACAACTCAAGTGATGGTTGGAGTTATTGGTGTATTGATTGGTAATTGGAAGGAGGATTTTTATAAACCATAGGAATGCCAGAAGGATCATAATTGAACCTGTCTTACCTGGCAAAGGAACAGCTAGAGTTATAAAGGAGAAGTAAGTAGGAAGCTGGAAACACAGATCTCAAGCTAGGAAACACCAAAGTAAAATCAGGTGAACAGTGGCCTCATGACTAGTAGAATAATGTGTCTTCTAAAGGTGCTAGCAGTAAAACTGAGAAAGTAAAGTTAGTATTGGTGTTTATCAGAGTTGTCCTCAGAAAAAAAGCACTACTTAATCTTTTCAAGCAGAAAAGCAACAGTGCTCTGACATTTAAGACCCTTGGCATATCAGTTGTCATTCCATTTTCTTTTTCCTAAAGAAGATAGGAAGTATTCCTAACTGGTCCTGAATAGTGTTGGGAGATGAACAGTGAGAATGCCAATAAATGTGTGTGAATGTCTTTGTTTTAGATATAAAGGATAAGCAGAGTGGGTGTTGTTGCAAGGATGGTAATTAGTCACAATCCATGACAAGGCAGAAGACATTGTAATTGCAGCATTTTGCCCTGTCACTGAAGCTTATAATTATTAGTGCAGCTAACAGGATGTACTAACTCTGGCAGTTTTTATCACCTCTGCTACTCTGAAATATAATGGTAAAATTTCACAGTCCTCCTGAGACTAATTCTGTAAAGGATCAGGGTTGAGTGATTTGTTGGACATTTTTCCCTATTGTTAAATTGATAACCAGATGTGGTTTTTGCAAGAGTAAGAGTAATTCTACAAAATGTGAGAATCAGTGTGATACCTATATACTCCATCTTCTAGTCCATGCACCTTAAACAGATTTTTAAAAAAAATGAGGTGTTAACTTTCTGATAGAATTCATCAATCAAACTGGAGGCTGATTTTTTTTCCTTTAGCCACTTCTGCAATATGTATAAATTACTTTGAACTTGCAGACCAAGCCATACTGCATAGGAAAGCTGACATGATAAATGCGTTCACTTCATTTGAATATTCAAATCCCATGCATTTATTTTAATTCTTAGGAAAAGCTATTTTGAAGCTGTCCAGCAACATTCAGCTACAAGTAACCCCAAAGGCGAGTAAAAGCTAGGAGAGATTGGGCTCCATCCCACTCCTTCCATGGCACGCAGTCAGCACATCAGTGTGTGAGCACAGCCCGCAGCCCTGGCCGTGGGGCACCTCTGGCTGCTGCCTGTGCCCAAGCAGCCATCCCTGCTGGTCCTTGGTGCCATGCCCAGTGCACAGGCCTTGCACCACTGCTCTTCCCAATAAAGACACTGAGCAGGCAACTTGCTGGAGGCAATATTGTATTTTGCTCTTTTTTGGTCTGACTTTGCCAACACTGCTCCACAACCTTGGGAACTCGTGTTTTCATTGCTCCTGGACTGTGATCAACTCATTTAACTCCCTGTTGTGAATGGTCATTATTCCACTGTGCAGGCCTAAGTTACTCTACTTTTAGTGCAGAAATGGTTATAATTCACCTGTTTTATGACTACTGTAATCCCAGTGGGAGGATTCTCAAAACCTTTTATTTGTTTAAAGGATGAAAATAAATGGTCTAGTGCAGGTTTAGTTTGTGACAATGATCATGTTCCTCAGTTTCTTGTTGCAGGTTGATTTTTATATAAATTGTACTAGGGTTTGTTTAAAAGCAAACTAAAATGTGACTTAAACAGTATGACACTGAAGGAAAGCTTTCTCTTCACAGAAGGGGGTGATGGGGCATTGGAGTGGGGTACCCAGGAACGTGGTGGAGTTGCCATCCCTGGAATTAAGAAAAGACTGATGTGGCACCAAATGCCATGGTCTAGTTGACAAGGTGGCGTTAGGTCAAAGGCTGGACTTGATAATTTCAAAGGTCTTTTCCAACCCAGGTGATTCTGTGAATGTGTTACTCTGCTTCACAACATTCTTACCAACATTACAGGACAAGTTAGCTACAAAAATGTATGCTGAGCTTTTACTAGTGAAACATCCCTTTTTTTTTGTTATATCATAACAAAGCACAGCAATATGTAGAGAAGCAGGAAATTGTATTATTGGGTTTCTCCCTCCTAAGAACGTGGTCTGAAATTGTACTGCTCTTCCATTGAATGAAAAGCAATATATTTGGGCTGACATTGCTTATCCACGCATGAAACTAACAAGATCATTACAGGAAAATCATTACAATCCTTTGTACTTTGAGGTCTGTTACTTTCAACACATTTTTGTTTTACTTGCTTCTTTCTTCAGAAGCACTGGTCCTTGTGAACATCTCTTCTGATTTTTTTCAGTTTTCTGTTTCACCTGTGCCCAGCAGTCTTCTATTCATACGTAGTGTCTCTGCCACCCTTTTGTCTTACAGGCCAATTCAAAGACAAACTGATTTTAAATAACCTCAACACTCTTATTTCCTCCATTAGGGGGATGGTTTATACTGGGGTGCCAACCACAGGTTCTCCATAGGTTTAAGCATTCTACAAAGACATACAGAAATTAAAAATAAAGAAAATAGAGAAATAAAGTCTGCAACTGTCTTCAGAAGTTCATTCAAATTTCATGCAAATTCTGATTCAAAACTCATTGACTTCATAGATCTAATCTGAAGCCTTCTATAGGCTTATTTCTCCCAAATTTGCCCTTAACCAGGACAGCTGGGTTCATGTCAAAGCGAGCAGGGCGTGGGGAAGCTTAAAGCAAACACTGGGGACACACCTGCTGGAAAAATACCAGAAATGGGATTTGTTTCTTCTCTTCACTCTAGCTGTGCAAACATACTGACCCTGGTGTTTGATGAGGTACAAGCTGTCACCATGCTCAGAGAAAAGACTTCTTTGTAAACACTCCAGAATTCATTTTCTCAACTATCAGAATATTGAAAACCCAATAATTCACCAAAGCAAAGAGATACAGATAGCCATTAATATCTTACTGACTGATCAGAACAAAAAGTTTTGTAAACACTTTCTAAATTCTTGAAAAAATAAATGAGTCACTATGGCCTGCCGCCACCAATATTCTTATGGCACAAAGCTGCAAAAACTAAAAGGTTTAATATTTCATTTTTCATTTACTGTAAAATAACTTGCTTTGCAAATATTCAACACACTGCTACATTTTTGTATGTATTTGTATTTTTATAGATTTTTCAGTAAGCATAAATCCATGTCCTCAATTTGAAGACCTGAGAATTATTTATTTTAGAAGTATAAAAATATTAAGTTAAAAAATATTAAGGCAGTGCTCAAGCTTAAATGAATGCTGTGAATAAAGTACTACTTATAGTAAGGTACTAAGCAGAAGCCATTAGTCTTGCTTCATTGAAAAGAGCAGTATTTAGCTTAAATGAGACCTATCACACATGGTGTTCAAGTTTTGTTCCTGATTTATTATTTCTTTTTACTCTCATAGTCATGTGCATAAGGAACTTTTTTTTTTTTGCAACCAGAAGAGCAGAAGGTAGAGAGAGTATGTGTGGAAAACCTTAAAACCAATGCAAGGGAGTAAGAGCTGAAGCAGGTTTCTCTACAGAAACACACTTCAAGGAGAATCCTTATTGCTTATGGCTGGTTAACATATAAATGTTTTAATGACTGTGTGCTCCTGACATCCTTCTGATGCAGAGAACAGCTCAACGTGGATGATATCAATCAATACCATCTATGTCACTGTGTTAGATAAAATGTGTGTAAGGATTACTAGGCCTAGGAGGAGCAAATTGAGAGATGTGACATCATTAAAGGATAAAGCAATCTACTCCCTGTTTTACGATAGCTTCCATTATCATTTGCTCTATGAAAAATATTTCTGCAATTCAGATTGGTTCAGAATTAAGTGTTACAGTAGTTCTCTCTTCTCTTCTATTAGGTATCCAAGGCTGCAGCAGATTTATTGGCATATTGTGATGCACACATTGGAGAAGATCCCCTTATTATTCCTGTACCTGCATCTGAAAATCCCTTTAGGGAGAAGAAACTCTTTTGTACTATCCTTTGAGTCAGTTTTCAATTAAAAATGTCATCTGCTAAAACTTGGTATCAGTGTTGCATGCTTTTAACATTTTTTTCTTCAGATGTCAACACTTACCCCATACCTACAATATTTTTGGAAGGTAGTGCAATTTTGGCTAAAAAAAACCCCTAAAATTAAAAAAAAAATTAAGAAAAGAAAAAATTCAAGGTAATGCTTATCTTTCAGAGCAATGTACAAGTTTGATTTCAGTACTTCATAAATATTCTTTTGGTCTTAGTAAAAATACCAAGTACAGTATCAAATTGTAGATATCTTTGCCAGTAATAGATTTTTCTGGGATCCAAATGAGTCATATCAATTCTTGAAGCTATTTTTAACATTCTTATTTTCCTTGGAAGGTGAATTCAATTCAATTGCCTTTACAAAATCTCTATCTAAAGAGAGTAGCATGACCTTTTCCTCAAGTAGCACTATTTAGGAAAAAGTCCCAGTAATTTACATTGTTTAGAGTGATTGGTCTTATAAAGTAAGTGGTGTCTATAAATATGTTTTCTGAAGACTGTAAAAAACTTGACTACAAAAACAATCCTAGTAAATTGCCATTGTAGCTACGAGCAGAATGAAGATGTAAAGTCACACATCAGGATTGCATCAATAAAAACGTAGAAAAATGTGGTTGCTTGTATCAATTATTTTGAATTATAATGATTTGAATTATTTAGAAAGTAAACTAAACTGTGAAATAAATGTTCCTGAGGGTTTTAGTCTGGGATGTAAAACTGCCCTGAATGGCACAGGGATTGGGAATTACATTTTCTGAGCAGCCTTCTGCATGCTTTTGCCCATGAGAGTAGGACTTTATGGGGCTGTAGAGTAATGGTAAATAAATGTTGTTCTAGGATATGCAGCAAGACCACTGTGATGTTGACAGCCACTGTGTTTGTACATTTTGTGGCCACAGATTAGTTAAGTTGTCAGCAAGTAATTTGTGGAGGTTCTGGGATGTTTTTTTTGTTTCAACTTTAAAGTGCAGTGAGAGGAAAAGAATGAGGTGTGAAATAAGACTGCCTTCATAAAGTAAAATTAAGCTCGTGCAAGGCACTTGATGGAAGCAACTGTTATTTTAGAGATTTTTTGTTGTTGTTGTTTTTCTCCTTATTAAAAAAAAATGAAAGCTCTTTTTCAATCTGATGCATTAGGACAGTTGTCTCACTGATATGTACCTGATATGTACAGTGTTTCAGCCAGCCCCATAAGGCAGGAGACAATTTTGTTGGAGAACTGCACCAGTCTGAGCTGAACAGCCACCCATAAGAGATAAAACTTCCTCCCATCCTCTGCACAAACTTGTATTCCATAAACTTCTTAAATAATACCTGCAAAAGACTAGCTGAGGAGTTGAGGGCCTTGGGGTATTCTTAAATGCGGAATTTAGATGCTGAAAAGGGCTGCTTGGTGAACAAAGCATTTCCCCCAAAAGTGCATGTACCTTCTCCAGCTTATTTTTAGCAATTTCCATCAATGTCTGTTGTACTGTCTTGTGCAGTGGAAATACAAGATGTCTGCATTGTACAGATTTTGTTTTCTTTCTGTTTGGCTTGGATAATGGGCCTCACCCAACTGTGTTCAGCTACTAGTCTGGGCACACGGGACAGGGGGCTTTGGATGGTGCTTCTGCTGCTGGCAGAACTCACCTCATGTCCCACATGCAATGTTATTGTAAAAACCCCTACATATTCCTTTTAACCAATAGGCTTTTGGGATGCCCTTAATTCAAAGATACGGTTTTTGAACTGGGCAGCTGGAGACACCAGTATCTTAGCAGGCTTGGCATACCTATGCTGAAAAACATTCAAGTATCTTGAACAGGTGTTACTTTGGGTAGGCTCATCCTTGGTTCCTATTTCAAAGTTTTCAGCTTAAGAATCCCATTCCTAACTTTTAACCAAAATATTTCTTAATGTATGGTGTGTTTTTATTTTGAGGGTAGAGAAATAAGGTTTAGCTAACTGAGTTTTATTGGCAGTGAAACAAAAAAAGGCTTTTTGAAAATATTTATTTAAAAAGAGCAACAAAATGCTTAATAAGGTTCTTTAGGGAATCCTTCCTACAGCGTGCATGATTTGGTAACTGCTCTGATCACCATGGCAACATTTTCATTTGTCCTTCCGCATGTATGGTTTTAACTGGAACAGCATGGGAGGAGAATATAGGGCATACAGCTTTATTCTCAAAGGCTTTGTAACAACTTGCATTTGTGCATTGTGCACTCATCATTAACATTCCCATCTCAAATAACAAAATTGCCACGGCTTATTACAGTATTGCAAACAGCTTGCTTTCTGTTTCCAATTAGGGTTAGAGTCTGACATCCTGAGATGGAAACATTTCAGTGCTTTTGAGGGTCTCTGGTTGTAAGAGATGCATTTACAAAAATCCAGAATTATTATTCACAAGGGGAGAATGGAATTCTTTTGATCTTCAGGTTTTTCCTCCAAAATCTTTCTTCAAGGAGTTGTGAATGTGTTGGAGTTATGTTTTAAATAGCTAGTTCCCATGTTTTTAGTCTCTTTCATCAATTCATAAATTTCATTAGGTTAAAAAAAAAAGAAAATGTATCTATTAAGATGATTTTATGCTTCCAATTTTTAAAAAAGTTTTTAAAAATTTTAAAATCCAGCTTTATAGCACTATTAAATTAAGTGCAGGGAATACCATAAAGTGCATATTTACATTAGCAGATGTCTATAATATGTTTGAAGAGGTGAAACTGTAGAAGCATAATTCCTTACTGGAAAACAGAACATCTTTCTCTGATATCCTTGGGCCTTATTTACCAGTTCCTTGAATGAAGATATACTATTGGCAAATTAGTAATTTGAAGGGGAAGAGGGTGAGGTGAACTTGGAAGATCAGCACTTCAAATACAATTGTAACAGCTTTGGATTGCATACAAATATATTATTTTCCTCAATCAAAAAATTGACTCTCTGAAAGAGAATGGCATCATCTGGTTTACTTTTTTTTAATGCCAGCTTGATCCACAAATCAACATTTAAAAGAATATATTTTCCTCCAATCCCAGCAAACCATAAAATGTCTTTGTCATTGTTATATTTTGTGCTGCTTTGACCTTTGAGGTTGTTTGGATAATCTGCTATTGATACTTAAGTTTCATGCTTAAGCATCTTGCCTCAGCTCTACACAAAAATATCCAAATGATTTTGTACATTTTCCTAAATAATGAATACATGGTATATCATGAAGTATAGAATTATGTATATTCTAAAAAAAACCCAAAACTCTCCAAAATGTGGATTTATCTAACAGAAAGGTTTCCTGTAGGCTGAAGCAATGAGTTTATACTTTCATCAAACGGTCTGATTTGATTCCTACCAATTTTAATGAAAACAAAACCAGACCTGCTGCCATCCAAATGCTGTACTGCTCTCTCTCTGTTTCATCTCATATCCCATTAGGCTTGTTTATTTGTGGTTCAGGCCCAGAAAGTAATGGGTGCTCTCTTAACTGTGTGAGTTGGGGCTGTCATCTCACAGAGTGAGAATTTCAGAACAGAATTGGATTCAAGGGGGTTTTGACATGCTATGAGTAATCCTTTCTTCATATCCCAACTCTTGCTGCTCTGATGAAATGAGAGTTCCCAATAGTTTGGTGGCAAATTGTAATGTTTTGACTCCATGAGATTAATCTCCTTGGTTTACTTTAACATGCTACCATTTCAATCCTAAAAACTATTTTCCTCCTCCCCATTATATAATAAATTCCCCTTCTTCACTTCCTGTATCATGTAATAAATTAGTAGCGTGGTGCTTGGCTGGTGCTGATAGGCAAATTTTTTAAGCTAACCTTTATGAAATTATCCCCAAAGGAGAAGAAAAATATGGAGGGAAGTTTATACTTAAAGTTATTCTACATCACACCAAAGGTTAAAATAAATAGAACCTTTGCTGTCATTGGTACTAAGGTAAACAATTATTCATGGGGATGTTGTAACCAGGCATTTTTGCAGTGACTTACAGCAGGATCAGCTCCAACAGAAGGAAAGAACACTTTGGGAACAACAGTCTGTAAAGGTGCATATTAAAGCCTCAACTTCAATAAGGCAGTCATTTACCCAGTTGGATTTCTGATATCAAAGGAGTAACAAAGTTCGTGCTTTGAGAGGACCTGATTATACGGTTTTTCCTATCTCTTCATTATATAGGGATAAAAATCTGTATATATAATTTTCCTAGAAAATGCCATAATTATGGCTGTCCTTTGGGTCTGCATCAGAATATGGATTTGTTTCTTCAAGGAGACTAAAGAAAACTTGGGGGAGGAGTGGTTCCTAGGAAATACAGGCTTCTTTTCCTGAAAACTAGTACTTAAAGTCATTAGACTGACTTAAATAGTAATGTGTGAAAAATAGTGGGCAAACTTACCAGAATAAGTGTTACAGAAAATTTTACAGGCACCTGCAGATTTAATCTTTAGGTAAATAATGTACATTTGCATCTAATTGAATCCAGCTTTATAGCACTATTAAATTAAGTACAGCCACAAATACCAGAACTGGTATGGGAACAATTTTTCTGTCTGTTAGAGGAAGATGTGCATCTGAGTTTGTCAAGTACATTTACACCACTCACGCTTGTGAACAAACAAAATGAGCAGCTTTACCCTAAAATTGGGTCTTTTCTTTCCTAAATTCCTATTACTAGTAGGAACTGCACAGGCTTGTCTATTACTGCCACCTACTGATAAAGTGAGATGGAGTACCAATACCAACTAGCAATGACCAAAAGAGGGATTCTGAATTAATACACAAACTGTCTGAAACAGAGAGTCAGCACTCCTGTTTTTGTGGGCTACATTGTGTAAGATTTGACCTGGCACTGGGGCACTGCTGCACTGCTGGGCTGTAGTTACACCTCATGCTTCAGTTCCAGACTGCTCAGTTTAGGAAGACACAAAAGACAAATACATTATTTGGCTAAATAGGTCAGGTGTCTGGCTAAAAATGCCTTCAAAAGGTGGGAAAGTCATTATGTGAGCTGGAGCTCATTTTCCAGATTACCACAGATGCCTGTTCCTCGGTGCTGCTGAGACACCAGTTGTGCCCTTTGCTCCCTGGAGCAGGTGAGGTGGCTGCTAGCAGCAGAAAGGCTCAGCTTTAGGCCAGAGTGAGTCCCGAGCCCAGAGCTCCCACCCAACAGCTCCCACTGACTGCTGCTCTCTTCCTTCACACTCAAACTTCACTCCTGCCTGTTGGGTTTTTTATTTTGGGAATGGGGAATGTTCTCCAATTACTGAAGTCTGGGCCACATACTTCCTCATATGCTACAGCAGAATAATACAGCCAGAACAGAGCTTAGGCCGCTGCTTATGCTAAGAATGGCATTTTAGGGAAAATACACTAGGCATGGCAAAAGGATGTGTTTCAAAAGATAGCCCATCCTACAAAATGTATTTGTTGTGTAGCTTCTCACTGTACACTCTTGTGTCTTTGAGCTTTAGGTGGCATCCTTGAGCCCTTCATTCTCTTCATGGCATACTCTAAAGACACGCACAGATTTTCAGCAAAAGGAAGGAATAAGCCATAATTTATAGAAAAGAACCATTGTGACTTTTTAAGAAACCTTTCAAGTAGCAGTAACTTTAAAGATACT